AAGATACCCATGAACATGTTACCTGTTCTCCTTTACTGACTTAGAACACTTGTCCTGAGAGACTGAAAAGGCACGTTAAGGACCAGATCCTTCTAAGAAAAGAAAGGAAAGTAAGGGGACCCAGTTGCAGTAGAGGAACTATTTTATTGTTTGATCAGAGAAGGCGTCCTCTGACAAAGTGAGTAGAGCTGAATGGAGGAAGCCATGCAAATCTCTGATGGAGAGCCTTCGAAACCGAGGAAACAGCAAGCACAAGAATGAGCAGAGGGCTTCCCTGGTGGTGCAGTAGTTGAGAATCCGCCTGCCAATGCAGGGGACTCAGGTTTGAGCCCTGGTCCGGGATGATCCCACATGCCGCAGAGCTGCTAAGCCCGTGCGCCACAACTACTGAGCCCGAAATCTAGAGCCCACAAGCCACAATTACTGAGCCCACGTGCTACAACTACTGAAGCCCACGCACCTAGAGCCCATGCTCCACAACAAGAGAAGCCACCGCAATGAGAAGCCTGCACACTGCAACGAAGAGGTAGCTCCTGCTTGCCGCAACTAGAGAAAGCCCACGTGCAGCAACGAAGACCCAATGCAGCCAAAAATAAATAAATTAAAAATATTAAAAAAGAACATAGAAAAAATAAATTGTATGTTTACCCACATAAGAAAAATAAATTAAAAATAATTTTTTTAAGTTAAAAAAAAAAAAAGAATGTGCAGGGAGCATGCTTGGTATGTTCAGAACTCACCAAGGGAGCCTGTGTGCTGGAGTGGAGTGAGTGTGAGGTGAGGCATGGTCAAAGCTGAACTCAGAGAGGTGGAGGATTCATATCATATTGTGCTTTGTAAACCACAGTTAAGGACTTCAGATTTCATTCTGAGTTTAATGAGGAGCTCTTGGAGGGTTTTCAGCAGAGGAGTAACATGATCTGATTTATAATTTAAAAGCAGCACTCTGAAAGCTGCATGGAGAATGGCCGGTACTGGGCCAAGGGTGGTGGTAGAGACATCTATTGGGACACTCCTGCAATAATCTAGATTAGAGGTGGTGGTAGCTTGCACCAGTCTAGTTGGTAGCAGAAGTGGTGAGGAGTGGTCAGATTACATTTAAAAGGTAGAGTCAACAAGAATTTCTGAGTTTGGATGTGGCATATGAAAGTCAGGAGTCAAGGATGACTCAAGTTAGGAGTACAAGTAAAAAAACCCCAAAATCCAAATTAGATGCCATAGCTCCAAAAGGAACATTTTTCTTTCTATAAAAAGTGCCCCAGGGGCTTCCCTGGTGGCGCAGTGGTTGAGAGTCCGCCTGCCGATGCAGGGGACACGGGTTCGTGCCCCGGTCCGGGAAGATCCCACGTGCCGCAGAGCGGCTTGGCCCGTGAGCCATGGCCGCTGAGCCTGTGTGTCCGGAGCCTGTGCTCCGCAATGGGAGAGGCCACAACAGTGAGAGGCCCGCGCACCAGAAAAAAAAAAAAAAAAGTGTCCCAGAAGCCTACATAGACTTGATTCCTATTCAGCTATTCAAATGTAGACAGAAAAATCCCATTAAAAATCAGGTCAGTTATAAAGAGCCTGTGCTTACTCTTGTGCAAAGCACTGGCCTAGGGAAACAACCCAAGGAAACTACATTTGATTCTTCCAAGTGTAGAAACTACAATTGCTCTCTTCCCCTCTCTTAGCATGAGACCTACCATACAGACACACACAAGCCAGGACTTGATCGTATCAGTGCTAAAGCTGAGGCATCAATATAAAGTGTAATGACTGATGGGTAAGTCAGGTGGGTTGGGGAGGCATCTCCCATCTGCCCTTCCAGATCTATTCATCAACCCTCCCCCATACTACTATATGGGCTACATCAACAGGCCTCCTTGCTTTGGCCTCCAGTTGGGTTCTGCCAATGAGCAGAATACACAGGAGACTGAAAGGAGAGAGAAGAGTGAGGTCAGGACATTTTTTTCGCCAGCCCCCTCCTTGAAGGGTTGCCTGGCCTGGCTGGATCCTTTAACTGAAGGGCACAGCTCCATTAGAGGTCCTCCCACAGGCTCCCTCCTCCCCAGTTCCAGGAAGCGCTCGCTTCCCATGCCTCTTCAAGCTAAGGGGTGGTCACAGCACCTTACTCAAAACAGCCCATTAGGGCTTCCCTGGTGGCACAGTGGTTGGGAGTCCGCCTGCCGATGCAGGGGACACGGGTTCGTGCACCGGTCCGGGAGGATCCCACATGCTGCGGAGGGTATGGGCCCGTGAGCCATGGCCGCTGAGCCTGCGCGTCCGGAGCCTGTGCTCCGCAATGGGAGAGGCCACAACAGTGAGAGGCCCGCGTACCGAAAAAAAAAAAAAATACAAAAAAACAGCCCATTAGTACAGCACCATCTCTACACCCTAAATTCACAAAAATAGTCACTTATAAAACTCTCCTCAAATTACCCATTTCTAGAGTGTCATCGATTCCCTTGCCAGGAGCCTGTAAAAAGATTTAAGAGGGTGGCATTGAAGTAATAAGAAAAATTTCAAACCACAAGGAAGGTCACTCCATTTGAAGGAACAATATGAGCAAAGAAAGGAAAGAGAAGTACAGATGTTTAGGTAAAGGTGAATGATCGGATGAGGCTAAATGCACAAACTTAACCCAAACCCAGATATGAATCAAAATTTCCAGATAACTGCCTTTGTTGTAGTCACTTGCGTAAATGTATCCAAGAGTCATTTGTTTTTAGTTCGAACCCCTATATTAAAATGCACCTTTCTTGTTCTCAGATATGGCAAATACCCTTGCAAAGTAGCACAATTATTTTCTGTAGGAAATGACCAAAATGTTCATGGTAATAGCCTGGAGACTAGGTAGCATTTATAGATAAATTACAGGGAGATCTACAAGTTCCCTAGAATCACATACAAAATTTTGCATGTATGCATTTTTCTGAAGAAGTGGTATAGCTTTTATCAGTTTTCAAATAGGTTTACGCCTCTCTAAAAATCAGTGCTAGTAGATTCCCAAAGAAACTCGCCTGAATTTAAACTTACCAACCTTAATTCTGCCCTAGAAATGTTTCATTAACACAAGAAAGGCCTCGATTGAAGAAAAGTATCCAGTAGATCACCAGCTATAGTAAATGTATTGCTTACCAAGTACAAAAAATAAAGAGTCACCATACACTCCATTTTGTTTACAGAATCTGTTGATTCCTTCATACACTTAGCACTGAATGATACATTTATAAAGACCCTGCTGGAATTGTAAGGTATGTCAGAATGGCTGCAGAACTATTTTCTCTGGATGAAATAAACCAAACACTTCAGAAGAGATTTCAGCTTGCTATATCGGTCTTCTTGGTATTAAACTATAAAATTTAAATTCTACATGAATCCCAGTTTATTCTGCAATCTTGGAACAAGGGCAAAAAGAAATCACCACTCAAGAGTGTAGAAAAAGAATGAACACATGCATAAGAGTTTGGGGATTTACACATTTTTTCGTAAAGGCAAATGATGCTCAAGACAACAATAACGTGTATTTAAGAGTATATCATCTTAGAAACTTACAGCGAGGTCAGTGACATATACTTTAACTCTTAAATGGTCTTACCATCCTTTATACACAGTCTGGAATTTTAGTACCTTATTTAAAATAATGCTATCATGACGGTTGCTGAAATACCATTTCACAATGTAGATATTACCAGAATATATCACTTATTAAAAAAAAAAGTCTCATCACTGGATCTTAAAATCTCAGTGAAATCATCTTAACATTAACTTCGTGTAACATTTTTTTCTGAGCCTCAAGTAGCTCAGAATATGTAGGCAATGCCTACTGCACCTAATTTTTTATATTACAATTCATCCTGTGGAGTGACTGAATGATGCGCAGGTAATAATACACTCAGTACCTGCCCACCACCCATGTGAAGAAAAATAATGCCGGGCACACTATATTACATAGTATTAAACACTGTAAGAATTATGTTAATTGTGTCAATACCACTCTTTAATGACAACTTTCTATAATAAATTTTGTGAACAAAGAAGAATTTCAATGACTATCCAGTTCTACAAGGGTTAATTCATAATCCACTCAAGTTGCCCAGCCACAGTGCGACCTGAGAGTAATTCAGGATGAAGCACTCTGCTTTGGATAAACAGGCCCTTAGATAGTTCGAAGCATCTCTCGGGAAGAATTTCAATGACCCTGGATTCTTACATCTTCCTATTCGTAGAAATATACTAAAACCATTAACATGAGGTATCTGTTCTTTGTGATTAGCAGTAATCTTTTACCAAGATACATGCTTGACTGTATGTATTTCCTAGACAAAAAAATTCATATACAATCTGGCTTCCCCCCTACCTCTGCAGAGCAGTTCCTCGGAGCTGAGTGGCTGTCTCCCGTGCTATAATCGTCAGTAAGCCGCTGAATAAAACTTAAACTCACAACTCTTATGTTGTATGTCTTTAAGTCGACAACTTCTTGGTAAGATTCCCCTCCTAAATTTTCACTCTTTCAGGCTCATGTTTTGGTTAAACATTCTTCCCGACCTATGTCTAATGGCTGGACATTTACAAATTGGGTCCTTTACCACAGTCGTCGCGTGGAGCAACCCAAGTGGCCTCGAAGGTCTCCCAATAGAGACAGGTCAGGAGAATGAATAAAAACGGCTACCGGTGACGTTTAAATCTCAACAAACTTGGTCAACCTAACAACTCTAAAGAAACCTGAAATGTGACTGGGAAAAGGCCCGAGAGATGCCTCACAACCCAAATTCCAAGGCAAGGTCACGGAGAAGCCATATCACCCAGGCGGCCAGGGACGTAATCAAGTTCTCCTAGTTTGCCCAAAAGCCCTTTGCGGCATGCAGTAGGCCAAGTCAGCAGACTCCTCCCCGAGAAAAAGCCAAGGGAACAGTGAGCCCCTGGCAACTCACACCGAGATGCAGGCCTTCAATCAAAAAGCTCCAGCCCCAGGCCCATTGCTCAGATACACAGAAGCTGAGCGAGCCCCAGCCACTCACCTCGCAGCCACTGCGTGCTGTGAAACCATCTCCAACTAGCTCCACGGCCGGTAGACCACCCAGCAGCCCCCTTAACCAGCCCTGGGCTTCCGCAGAAGCCCAAGAGACAACGCAGCAACCGCTGATCACAGCCTAGCCTCCAGGAGGCCGCCATCTTCCCGGCCTTCTCCCGGGCTGCCCTCTGCACAGCCTGATCGCCCAGTCATCAAGGCCCTCTCAGGACCCGCCTCCCACCGTGTTGGACACGCCCCCTGGACGCCAGCCGCCCCTCTGAGCCTTGGAATCAAGCTCTTCTAGCCCCGCCTCCAACAGCTTGGCCCCGCCTCCCGGTCAGGCGGCTCCGCGGTTGGGTCTCCAGGCAGCGAGGCCCTCCCAGACCCGCCTTTCGCCTTGTCCGCCCCGCCCCCGGGGTGCCCTCAGGGCCGCCTGATTGCAGTTCGGCCCTTGCCGCGTCAACCCAGGCGGAGCGCCAGAAGCAAAGCTGTGAGAGAGTTGGAGGGCGCAGGTACCCCTCGTCCGGGCCATGTCTAGCTGTCACGCTCCGGAGGGAGACTGTTGCTCACTGCAGTGTCGCGCGCAGGTAGGGGCGGGGCACTGTATTCTGAGGAGGCGAGGCAACGGCGCGGCGCGGCGGCGGAAGCTGGGTGCAGGTCGGGTAGGGCTTCAGGCCGGTCCGGACGCGACCCCCGCGCGCCGCCGCTCCCGTTCCTCGTGCAGACCTGAGACCCCGGGCCCCGAGGCGGGCCTGCTTCCAGCGCTGGGATTCTTTGATGGCGGGGGTTGGGCACCAAACGTTCAAAAGGGAAAAATAACGGAGGAGAGCGTCGGGCGTCTTTCGTGTGTGTTTCAAAACAACTTAACATGAAGACAGACCAAGCTGGGAAACGTGAAGCTCTGGAGTGGAAATGAAGCTAAGACTGTGCTCTCGAGCTTCTTTTCTGCGCCCTGGCGACCAGCCCGACGTTTGCCGCCCAGTAGATACTCGGAAACGTACTCCGAGCCAGATCTGCGGACTGTAGCCGGCACTTTTCATCTGCACAGTTGCTCTTTGCCTGTCTCGGTTTAGATTGATTATGGGATGATCGTAAAAAGGATTTTTTCTTAAGCAGAAGTCAAAGGAAAATCCACCCTCAGGCTGCACATAACTTTTCATTCACTTCTGCGCACTAAGAATTTTGTGGAACACCCACGTGCTCAGGGTGGTGATTAAGACAATGGCCTGGGGTCTGGAGGAGAGCTAGACGAATAAACAATTACAATGTGAGAAGCCTTGCTTAAGAGACAGGGAAAGTCCTTATTCCTCCTGTTATTCTTCTTCGGGGCTGAACGCCCCAATTAAAAAGTAGTAACATGACGTATTTTATTGGGAAATACTTGTCAACCACTATCTTGTGCAAATAAGTGGCTTAACACAGATTAGCAAAGTCCCTTGTTTGTTTCCTTTTTCCCACTTATTACAGCTTATTTATTTTTTCCTCTTTTCACTGCCAGCTAAAATTGTCATACACTGCCTGCCTCTACAAGGTTTAGGTCACTATCTACTGGAGTGGTTGACCTTCAACACACCCTGAAAGGAGTTCAGAGAGGAGGTAGGAACGAGATATTCGAGGAAGAACAGGACTTCAGATAGTTATTTTTAAGAGAACATATTATGAGCCCAATTTCTTGCATCTTATATCTAGAAAAGCACTAAAAGGATTAATGGAGACATCTCCTCGTGACCAGCGGCAGACTTCTTGTGAGTAACAGCATCCATCTGCCAAAATGTGTGCTTGATTCCATGTAACCCCCCTTCACTAAAATCACGTCTCTACTGACCTCCCCCCACACCCCACCGCTTTGGAGCAGTTCCTCTGGGCTGAGAGGCTCCCTCCCGGGTTATTTTGCCCCCAATTAAACTTAACTGTCACATTGTGCATTTTTTTTCAGTCGACATCGTTTTCTTTTAAACTACCCCCTAGAGTATAAGCTCCTTTAGTGCAGAGACTTTGTCTTGTTCATGGCTGAATTCCCAGGAAGTGCTTGGTACATAGACACTCAAGGAATACTTATGACTGGTATCACTACCCACTTAGCTACTCAGCCAACTGAAACTTAGAGTTCCTCTAAGCCTTCCTTTTTTTCAGTCTTCTCACCCAAAGCCCACCCTTTCTTTTTAACTTCTTAATTATCTTCCAAATCCATCTCCACCATCACCACCTTACAATTTCATTTTGAAATTATTTCCACATCCTTCTTCTGGTCTGGTCTTTTCCTTCCTTGGTTGTCATGCTTCAGCCTCTTCTCTTTATTGCCACTGTAGACACGTTTCAAAAACTAAGTGTGATCCTATCATCTTCTACTTAAAAATACTCAGCAGTTATCAGCCATCTATAGCATAGATGGTTGGTCCTTAGATGAAAGGTCCTTACAGTCTTTTTCCCTCCCCCCTCCATCCCATAGAACCTAATTCCGGTTCCAACTACTCAGAGTTCTCTCTGACTGAAATGCCCTTTCTCCTCTTCACCTACCTGCATACTTGGCCATCCTTCATTAAAACTTAGCTCAGCATCCCTTCCTCTATGAAGCTTTTCCCAACTCCTGCCCCCTCCCACCAGTAGCTTCTGTTCCCATAATGCCCTGGACCATCTTGTTTTAATATTGCTTTGTCGTTTCACAGCTGTTAACTTCTTTACTAGAGTTTGAGCCCTCAAGGGTAAGGATTTTCTCTTATTCGTATTTATTTATTCAGGGCCTTCAGTAAAGGTTTGTTGAATGAATGAATGACAGGGCTGTATAATAGACACCAAAAAAAGGTACACAGTGCAAATGCCATGGCACAGAGTTTGAGGAAGTATCACTTCCTGCGGAGAAGATGAGAGAAGGAATCATAGGGGAAGTGGGTAGGAAGCCTGGTGTAAAGGCTGACAAGCAAGAGTTTGACAGCTAGAGGTGGGATAATTGGAGATCCAGCATGAGCAATAACAGTGCAAAGAGAAAAAGATGTATTCTTGGCTGGCAAGAAAATGTGTCTTAGTCATCTGTTGCTGCACAGCTAGTATCCCAAAACTTAGGCTTAATGCACAATCATTGTCTCACACAGTTTCTGATGATTTAGGAATCCAGGAGAGTTTAGCTCAGGGTTCTGGCTCAAGGTTTCTCATGAGTTGGCAGTCAAGCTGTCAGCTGGAGCTTCAGGTATCTCGAAGCTTGACTGCGGCTGGGACCTGCTTCCAAGCTCACAAAGTTATTGGCAGGCCTCTGATCCTCACATTTTATTGGCTGGAGGCCTCAGTTCTTCACTCTATGGCCTTCTGCATAGGCTGAGTACCCTTACAGCATGGCAGCTGGATTCCCCCAGAGCAGGTGATCCAAGAGAGAGCAACCAAGACAGAAGCTGTAGGCTTTAGTAACCTGCCATCAGAAGTGACATACTGTCACATCTTAGTCTGTCTTCACACAGACCAGCCCGGTACAATGTGGGATGGAACTCTACATGAAGATGTGAATACCAGAAAGCAGGGAGAGCCATCCTGGAGGTTGATTACCACAACTAGGTTGACTAGAACTGAGAGATGTAAGTAAAAAAGTGAAAGAAAATATGTGAAAAGTTAAATTGGAGCAAGAAAGCAGATGGACTTAAATAAGAGACCCAGGGGGTGATATTTGAACATTAAATGATTTGAGGAAGGGAGTTCAGTGATCAAAGTAGTGTTATTATTTTAGTACTAATAATAGAGTGAAGGGTAAGCCGGAGAAGAAGAAAAAGGAGATATTGTAGGCAAGGAGACCAAATAGGAAAAGGTAACTTTAATCCTCCCCAAATATGTGTCCGTGAGAGCTTTTACTCAATTCTTGCAAAATAAGAAAAATAAGGACAATGGTAAAGTGAATTTCACAAAATTCATTGCATTCATTTAAAGGACTATGTTTCATTCCAACATTATCCTTCCTACTTTTTTTATGTTAAAAATGCACTTTCCTTTTTGAAAAATGTGATAATGGATGATTAACTATAACCAGTGTCATTAACTGGTAACCTTATGTCAGTCCCTAAAATTTTAAAAGCAGCAACAAAAACTACCGGTCTTGAAGTTCAGAAGTCTAAGAATCACTGATCCAGATTATTAAAATAAGGACACTGATAGCCAGAAAGGGTCACAGACTCGCTGTAGTGGGGGTCAAAGCTAAAGCCAGCCTCCTTGTCTTCTGATTTCTAGTCAGCGCTTAACTGGTAAGAAGAGTTTTTGTTTTTTGTGTTTTTTGCGGTACGCGGGCCTCTCCCTGTTGTGGCCTACTCCCGTCGCGGAGCACAGGCTCCGGACGCGCAGGCTCAGCGGCCATGGCTCACAGGCCTAGCTATTCCAAGGCATGTGGGATCTTCCCGGACCGGGGCACGAACCCTTATCCCCTGCATCGGCAGGCTGACTCTCAACCACTGCGCCACCAGGGAGGCCCCGTAAGAAGAGTTTTTAAGTGTAGTGAAGGTAGGAGGGAGAAATAGGGCTTTGAGTGGAGGTGAAGTTGCAGAGAAAACCAGTATGCAACGAGGAGAATGAATCAGAAGTGCAGAAGGAAACAAAGACCAGAGACAGAGAAAATGCTGACACTTTGACTGTGCCTGTATACAGTCCATTCTTAGGCCAGTGCGAGAAAAAATTCTGCGAGACTGAAATGATCAAAAAAGACTACTAGGTGTCTTGGGGCTATCTTCACGCTATTTTACAGGTCTGTGGATTGTAGAATGCTGACAGTAATGCAGGTGATTATTTTTCATAGAAAGGCAAGTCGTCTTATAGAGATTCACCTTATTGCTGCAGCGGGTATTGTCCAGTTTTTCTATATCATTTATTTGTAAATCCAGAATTCCTGATTTTTTTTATGTGTGTGTGTTTTGAATTCTCTTTGGACACCGTTGTATCATCTTTTTGGTTCCCTCATTTAATTGATGGGCTAAATACATTTGACACGTGTTCATTTTAATGTTTGTAAGAGTCCCTTGGGAAAACCTCTGAGGAATAATGCCTCTATTATGCTTGAATTGAAAGAAAAGGTGGGGGAAGGGATTAGAGCCATTGTTGGCTGTGAGAAGGTATCTCAGTGACATTGGAGGCTGATTTCCTTAAAATAACTAGATTGAAAAATTGGGGAAATGAAGTATTGATTCAAAAACTGTTTAGGCTTTAGTGT